AGTGGCCTTTTGATTGGTCCTTTCCAGGTTTCCTTTTTGCTCAGTTCCTCCTCTGCCTGTCATTATCCTTGACAGCTTTCCTTTTCTGGTTGTGGAAATGCAGATGTGACGGCTTAGAAACTAACAGCTATGTCTAAAGAAGACTCAGCATTTGATGGGCTGTTTTTTTGATCATCATATATAGCACTATGTGCGTGGCATTGTCTTAAGCAAGGCTACCAATATTAACTCACACAATCTCCAGAATAATGATTGAAGGTAATCATTATCCACATTTTTTCAGACACGGAAACTGAGGAACAGAGGTGCAACAGAGGCCAACAGCTCTTGAACAGCAAAGTAGGATTCAAATCCAGGCAGTTTGGCTGCAGGTGACCCAGCTGCCTTCCTGGCCGTGCTCTGCTCTGTGGACAATGTGACCTGGTGTCAGTATGGGGAAGGGGGGATCTAGCGTACATAGTGATGAGTTAGAGGGGGTGGAGTTGGGCTTCCTGCGATTTGCACTGAGATTCGTCCTTCAGTGCTTGTTTTGGAAGAATAGTTGCTTTAAATGGCTGACACCAGGACTCCAACTGCTTGAACAGTGGCTTCCAATCACAGAGGACCCACTGTGTTAGGGGCCACTACAGCTGGGACTAGGACAACTAGCCCCTGATTAGAAAATGGTACAGGGGAAAGATCAGATGCACCCATTGATGGGGAGGTAGTTCCAATGCCAGAGATGGAGTGACTACCCACATGCCACGAGCCTATGTAACTGAGAAACACTCAGGAGCGGGGGAATATGACCCGAGGCTGGGGGTGGTTGTGTCAGGTGCTGGGAAGAGAGTTGCTGGCAGGTATTCTTTGGAGCTGCCTGCCTAAGGGTTGGTTCTGTAGCCCCGACTAGTCTGGCTCAGTCCAAATGGGAAAGTTTTCTGAAATCTCTACATCTCTTCCCCAAATCTGACGCCTGAGGTAGTCCATACTTGCGTGTATTTTCTTTTTTTTTCCTACAAAACTTATTATTTAGATAGAATTCCTGCTTTAAGCGAGAGTACCAGGACCTGAGAATTTTGCCCATGCCAATTCCCTGGCATGTCAAAGACTATATGGTCTAATCAGATGGCATATTAATGACAATAATGAAGGCTGAACACTCTTACTCTGTTATGCAGAATTGAGGAAGCGTGCCTTATAAACATTAATAAACAGAAACCTCAATTAACATCGTCAGGAGGCCAGAAGCGGAAACGCTCATGTCCTATGATGATAGGAGAGCCCAACAGAAAGAAGAAATGCTTCTTATTCTTGCCTGGCAAGAGCTCAGCCAATGAGAGACTGTCACAACTCAACCAATGAAAAGTCACTATACTTCGAACTCTCAATTCCTCCAATGGGCTCTTTGTTTACTATAGCCCTCTCAACTTCCTCTTCCCTTTTTATTTAATTTTTTGGCCACTCCATACCCTTGTGGGATCCTAACTCCCTGACCAGGGATTGAACCCTGGGCCCCCTGCTTTGGAAGTGCAGAGTCCTAACCACTGGACCACCAGAGAATTCCCCCTCTTCCCCTTTTTAAAAAGCGTTCTTTTTATTTTCACTGGGGACTTGTACTTGACTCGTCATGATTGCAGACCCTGAATTACAATCCTTTGCTGATCCCAAATAAACTCATTTTTGCTGGAGAAATAACTGGCAGTCTATTTGTTTTAGGTCAGCAGTCTTTAGCCAGATTTCACTATAAATGTGGCAGAATATTTCTACCTCCTCACCTCCTTTTCTTTCCCTAGTCCTACTGCTAGCTGGGAATTGGACTTTGGTAAAACTGGCTAAAGAAGTGGATTACCATCTGAAATTTTTAAATTATGTTGAAAATATGGCAAGGCAAAGGTTTATTCATCTTGTAGGTATTCCAAATATCAGTTCATTGTAGGTTTTTTGTTGTTTTGTTTTGTTTTGCGGTACGCGGGCCTCTCACTGTTGGTGGCCTCTCCCGTTGTGGAGCACAGGCTCCGGACGCGCAGGCTCAGCGGCCATGGCTCACGGGCCGAGCGGCTCCACGGCATGTGGGATCTTCCCGGACCGGGGCACGAACCCGTGTCCCCTGTATCGGCAGGCGGACTCTCAACCACTGCGCCACCAGGGAAGCCCCATTGTAGGTTTTATGCCTGTATCACAATTCCCACTAATTTCTAATATGGATGGAATAGGAGCGATCTAAAGAGCTGAATTTTCAAAAGTGTTACTAAGAAATCTAAGCACGAAAGTCACTGAGTTACAAGGAGATGGCAAATGTGCAGTCAAAACTACGTAGTGAAAACAAAACAGAGTTAATCCAAATACATGGTGCACCAAAAAGTGAGCAGACTAAATAGGAAGTGTATGAAGACTGTATTACACCCAAAGAGTAGGAAAGTCAGTTTATCATCAGCCTTGCGATCTTGAAGCCGGAGGGGTAGTAAAGGTGGAATAGCTGAGGGGTAAACAAAAATAGTGTCTGCCATCTAGTGCTTAGGGGACACCTGAACCCATTCTTTCTTCTTGTGTAAAAGTCTTGTAATTTTGCTACACTCTTGGGCCCTGTTAACCAAAGAGACACCCTTGCCCCCAGATCCAGAGGTGGACGGTTGATCCAGGATAAGGAATATGTATCCTCAGACGTTTCCTGGAACAATCATGAATGACAATTTGCACAGCTGCTCAATTATAAGCCTGGGGCTCCTGTTGGCTGTCTTTTCCATCACAGTGGGAGAGCTCACCTGATAATAAAGTCAACCCAGAGGAAAGCGGAGTCTAGGGACCCAGAGACAAAATTCTTATGATATCATTCGAGCACATGAATCATGCTGCACCTGAAGCCATTACCCTGAACTTCCAGACTCATAATCAACAGTTCACTCTTTTTGCTTAAGGTAGTTTAAGTTATATTTCTGTGCTTTGCAACTAATATAAACCTGCATTTACTCCCTGGAGACCATAAGAAGTTTTACACTAAAAGTGTTTTTTTGTTTCTGTCCCATGATCAGGAAGATACACCCGGAATTACTAGGAAAGAAGCACTTAAAGTTCCAGGGGTCGATAAGCCACAGGATATACTGTAGAGCACAGGGAATTAGAGCCATTATCTTGTAATAACCTATAACGGAGTATAATCTGCAAAAATACTGAATTGCTATGCTGTACACCTGAAACTCATATAATATTATAAATCAACAATACTTCATTTTAAAAAAAAGTTCCAGAGATTAACAAACTTTCTCTTAAAGTACCGGATAGTAAATATTTTAGGCTTTATGGACCAAGAGGCAAAACTGAGGACATTATGTAAATACTCATATAGCCATTTAAAATGTAACCATTAAAAAAAATGTAAAAAAAAAACCCAACACATTCTTAGCTCCTCGGCTGTTAAAAAAAAAAAAAACACAGTCAGCTGCCTCAATTTAGCCTGCTGGCCCAAGAAAACAATGACACAACTTACTTTGGACATTTTTTCTGTTTCTGTCTCATAGATGAAAGCATTCTTTTCATTTTCATCCTTCAAGACAAATGTCTCCTTATCAGGGAGCTTCCTATGAGTGCCTTGGCTGGATCTATGGTTCCTCTTTTGTGTTCATACTCCACCAAGCTTATAACCTTTATTTTATTCCTTCACATATTTTGACTTTTTTTTTTTTTTTTTTTGCGGTACGCGGGCCTCTCACTGTTGTGGCCTCTCCCGTTGCGGAGCACAGGCTCCGGACGCGCAGGCTCAGCAGCCATGGCTTACGACGGGCCCAACCGCTCCGCGGCATGTGGGATCCTCCTGGACCGGGGCACGAACCCGTGTTCCCTGCATCGGCAGGCGGACTCCCAACCACTGCGCCACTAGGGAAGCCCTATTTTGACATCTTTAAATTGTGAAACTTCAGACATAAAAAAATGATATAAAATATTAAAATAAACACTTGTGTAACGTGTAAAACCGAGCATAACAGTTAATGCAATTCCAATATATTTGAAGCCCATTTTGTGTATTTCCCAAAACACATTTCCTCCCTCCTCTACAAGTAGCTACTATCCAAAATTCAGTGCCAGCCATTCTTTTGCATTTCATTATAATTTTATACCATCTGCAATTAATCTTATATATGTGAGCATAACATTGTTAAATATGTTTAAAGCTTTATATAAAATAAATGGATCCTTCTAAAATTTGCTTATTTTCTTTTTTTTTCCACCTCAAGATTGTGTCTGTGCATCATCGAGGTTAATTTACATAGTTACAGTTCATTAACTTTTACTGCTCTATTGAAATGCATTTGATGAATATACCACAATCCATCTATTTTCCTGTTGATGGACATGTACATTGCTTCCAACTTTTTGCACATGCAAAAAATGTGCTGCTTGAGAGTATTTTGCCTGCCTCCTTGTATATATCTGTGAGGGTATCTCTATCGCATATATGCAGAAGAAGAACTGGTTGGTGGTATATTATGCTCATCTTTAAATATACTTGAGATTGCTATATTTCTACCCAAAAGTGTACCAATCTCCTGACTTACCAGTATCTATGAGTACTAGTTACTCCAAAACCTTACTAAAACTTGGTGTTGTCAAAAAATTTAAGTTTTCTTTATGGAGAATTTCCAACATATAAAAAATAAACAGAAGAGTATAATAGACCTTATGTATCCATCACCCAGTTTCAAGAGTCAACATCTCGTGGTAGGAGGGGCAGGCTTATGATATAATCAATTCCCACAACCCTGGGGTGAGCAACCACAAACTGGAGGATGATTTTAATGCAGAGGTTCTCCTGCAGGTGCGAAAGTTCTGAGACCCACATCGGGCTCCCTGGCCCAGGGGTCCCGCACCAGGAAGACAAGCCCCAAGAGCATTTGGCTTTGAAAATCAGCAGGGCTTAATTGCAGGAGCCCCGCAGGACTGGAGGAAATAGAGACTTCACTCTTAAAGGGTACGCACAAAATCTCACAGGCCCTGGGACCCAGGGCAAAAGCCTGGGCCAGACCTACCTTCTAGTCTTGGAGAGTCTCCTGGAGGGGTGGAATGGTGGGGGCAGAGGGGCTGCACCTCATGCTGGGGACACAGACACTGGCAGCAGCCATATTTGGTAGCTCCTTCTATGCGTGGAAGTTCGTGCCAGGGCGCTCTCTTGGGCTCCTCCCTCTTGCTCATTAGCTCTGAGACCTGGCTCCGCCAACAGCCTGTAGGTGCCCGTGCTGGGATGCCTCACAACTAACTGGGCGGGGACGCGGCCCACGCATCAGCAGATAGGCCACAGTTGCCTCTAGACATGCTCCTAGACACGGCCCTGCCCACCAGAGGGCCAGGACTCAGCTCCGCCCACCAGTTGGCCAGCACCAGCCCTGCCCTCCAGGAAGCCTGCTCTAGCCTAGACCAGCCTCACCCACCAGGGGACAGACTCCAGATGCAAGAAAACCACCATCCCCCAGCAGGCCAGACCCTATCCTTGGACCAGCTGGGCCCTGGCCCTGCCCAGTAACAGGCCAACACAACCTTCGGGACACCCTGGATGCCATACTCAACTGTGTCAGCAACCAGGCCCCCCAACCCCCAACAGTGATCTGACACCAGCTCTGGGACCCTGGGCCCTGTAGCCAGACTCCAGGACCCGGCTCTGCCTACCAGTAGTCTGGCACTAATCCCAGGACCTGGTTTCACCCACCAGTGGAGGGGGCAACAGCCCTGGAGTCTTCTGAACCCTGACTCTGTCCACCAGTGAGCCAGCACTAGCCCCACGGCCCCCTGAGGTTCTACAGTCTGCTGCCTTGTAACCAGGCCCCACTAACCAGCAGCCAGCAGCATTCACACAAGACAGGGCCCATAAACCAACCCAGCCAGGGGCATTTGAAATTAAGAGAGCGGCAACTTAAAACTATCATGTACATATATAGACTGCTATACAAAAACCTCATGGTAACCACAAACCAAAAATCTGTAATAGATACACATACGAAAAAGAAAAATGAATCCAAACATAACACTAAAGATAGTCATCAAATCATAAAAGAGAACCAAAGAAGGAAAAAAGAAAGGGGGAGAAAAAAAGACCTACAAAAACAGGTCCAAAACAATTAACAAAATGGCAATAAGAACATTCATAACAATAATTACCTTAACTGTAAATGGACTAAATGCTCCAACCAAAGGATATAGAGTGCCTGAATGGATACAGAAACAAGACCCATGTATATGCTGCCTACAAGAGAATCACTTCAGATCTAGAGACACACATAGACTGAAAGTGAGGGGATGGAAAAAGGCATTCTGTGCAAATGGAAGTCAAAAAAAGCCAGCACAGCAATCACCCCAATGTTTATAGCTGCATTATTTACAATTGCCACGGTATGGAAGCAACCTAAGTGTCCATCAACAGATGAATGGGTAAAGAAAACGTGATATATTGATATATACTCCCAGGTATTGGGAACAACACAGGTATGTTCACTATACCTTTTCTGTTAAACACTGTACAGGAGGTATTCACTAAAGCAGTAAGACAAAAAAAAAAAAAAAAGTAATAGAAGTATAATAACTGAAAATAAAGAAATAATACTCCCATGTTGGCAGATATAATTGTGTATGTAGGACACACAAAGGAATAAAGCCAAATTATTAGCATTGATAAGTAAATTTAGGGAAGTCACTGGGTATATGGTCAGTATACCATAATGTATATGGATCTCTGTATGTGAAAAACAAACAATATGAAATTTTAAAAATGAATCCATTTAAAGTTACATGAAAAAGCATTAAATACGTAGTGATAAATCTTGACCTTTGTCACTGTCTTTGTAGCTCACCAGTGTCCTCAGCAAACATTTTCTCTTTGAAAAAGATAGGTAGATAGATAGATAGGTAGATAGCTTTCCTAGCTGTTCTCATTGGAACATTTGGAACAATTTACCAGTTTGTGATTATCGGAAATAAAAACATCACCTTTGTCTTTTGACAAGTGGGTTTATGCTATTATATACAATATTTTATTATTTTTGATATGAATATTTTTAAAGTAATTTAGTTATTTACAGCTTTAATTTATACCTTTGAATATTATGTCATAGTTAAAATGCCTTTCAATCTGAGATTTATTTTTTATGCCTGGCATATTTTCTTCTATTACTTTTTCTTTTTAATTCTTCAGTTATTTATCTGGTTATTTTTATTTGACTGCAGTAAGAACACTTAACATGAGATCTGCCTTCTTAGATTTTTAAGTATATAATACAATATTGTTAGCTATGAGCACAATGTTGCACAGAAGATCCAGACCTTATTCATCTTGCAAGCAATTTACTTTTTGCATAAAGAGTTAGATAAGTCTTGTATTAGTTTCCTAGGATGATAATGAAGTAACACTAACTGGGTGACTTAAAACAACAAAAATTTATTCTCCCTCAGTGCTGAAGTCTAGAAGTCCTAAATCTAGGTATCAGTAGAACCAGGCTCCCTCTGAGACTCTGGGTAGACTCCTTCCTTGCCTCTTTCTAGCTTCTGGTGGGGGCCAATAATCCTTAGTTTTCCTTGGCTTGCAGACTGATCGTTCCACTCTCTGCCTCCATCCTCCCATGGCCATCTTCCATCTGTGTTTCTGTCTCTTCCTCTAAGGACATCAGTCATATTAGATTAGGGGCCCACCCTACTCAAATGTGACTTCATTTCAACTAATTACATCTGTAATGACATTATTTCCTAGTAATGTAACAATCTGAGGTTATAGGCGTTAGGACTCCAACAAGTCTTTTGGGGGGGTTAGGACTCCAACAATTTAATTCTCAACAGGCATGAAGTTTTATTTTACCCCCATGACTACTCAAGTAACTCAATATCATTTGAATGATCACCTTTTCTCCACTAATTTATCCGGTTCTAAATTACCAGATATTTGGGAGAAATTTCTGGCCTCTTTATTTCTTTACTCTGTCTTTCAAGTCATGCATCAGCACTACAGTTTTGATTGTTGTCATTTTATAATGTCTTTTTGTTGTTGTTGTTGTTTGTTTTTTGCGGTACGCGGGTCTCTCACTGTGTGGCCTCTCCCGTTGGGGAACACAGGCTCTGGACACGCAGGCTCAGCGGCCATGGCTCATGGGCCCAGCCGCTCTGCGGCATGTGGGATCTTCCCGGACCGGGGCACGAACCTGTGTCCCCTGCATCGGCAGGCGGACTCTCAACCACTGCGCCACCAGGGAAGCCCTGTCTTATGTTTTTTAATCAATTTTATTGAGATATGCCATATCTCAATCTCATTTTATGCCATAAAATGCACTAATTTTCACTGTGCGTTCCATTAATTGTGACAAGTTTATACAAGCACACAGCCATCACTAAAATTGAGACACAGAAATTTCTATCACTCCCAGATTTCTCTCATATTGCATGCCGGTCAATCCTCTCCTCTTACACCTTGTCCCCATGTACGGTGCAGGTGACCTCACCTGCCAGTCTAACATGGATAAACCATAATCGCCCAAAGTCTAAGTCAAACGCATAATTATCAGATCTGTTTCTGGTTACTATTTTGGGTGTGGGCCTGGAACTCCATCGTGGCCAACAGGACCTGAAGGGAAATGTACTGGCTTTCTCTAGAAAATATTTCCTCTATATTGAAGAGTCCCCCAAGAGAAAATGTCCTCTTCTTCACAGGACATTGTTGTGTCTGTACATGGCTGCTAAAATAACTGCTACCATTTGTTGACCATGAGCACAGACACTGCCAACCTGAAGGCAGCAGGGCACAAAAATGGAGAACACCGAGACTCCTGGTAAAGATGGCTCATTCCTGTTACCAACCAGCCCTGTGGCCAACTCACCTCTGGGTTTCCATGTTATCAGAGGATAAACATGGAATGTCTCAGCCACTTTAGCCAGGTTTTCTGTTATTTGTAGTAGAATCATTCTGGTTAATATCCCACATTGAAGAGGGTGTGGGAAACCTGGGACTTAGTGATAAACGGTAGAATTATGATTTAAGACACCTGCTTTGGGGGATAACTTGGCAATATGCATACAACTAAATGTTTTTTAAAATGACACAGCAATTCCAGTTCTGGGAATTTCCCCTACTGTTAAGCTCACATTCATGCACCAAGATATATGCACAGGATGTTCATTGAAGCTGTGGGTGAAATAGAAGACAACTGAAAACAACCTAAATATTTGTCAGTAGGAGAAAGGCTAAAGAAATTACTTTTTACATGGAATACCATGTAGCCCTTAGAAAGATTGATGGATGGATTAAAAACTAATCTATACATTATATTGTTTTTAAAAGCTATATAGAGTGTATATAGCATGTTATGCTTGGATTACGCTTGTATATGCATAAACTATTTCTAGAAGGATGAAGAAGAAACTATTAACCATGACTGTCCGTAAGGAGGGGAGCTGGGTGACTGAGAAATAGGAGGGAGACCTACTTTCACTGTTTACTTAATTTTATACATTTAACATGTGTGCAACTAATATGTATGATTAACTGATAATTTTTGTTTTAATTAATTAATGGATAAAAGATCCTAGAAAGGCATGTCATTTCTTGGGAAGATGCCTTGTTAAAAAAAACAAAAAAGACTGCAAAACAGAATAAGGCCACGATCAAGGCCAGTGTTGCCAAGTTGAAGCCTATGGAAAAGGGTAGCCTTGGAGCTTGGATTTCGGCAGATCAGTCCAGGGTGCTGTCTTGGTGCTGGGTATACAATTACAGGAGGAACAGGTTGTGGTAGAATAAGACACATGCTTGCTAGCCTGGCAGGTCCAGAGCCCAACAATCACAGCAAGCTCTGAAGGGAGGAGAAAATGTCACCGTGTCTCATACTTGCCTGCTGTATATAGGACACTTAGAAATAAGGAACTAGGAAATGCAGGGCCCTAGGAAGGTCTATGCAGTGAACGGAACTCCATTCCCATCCCGAGAAAGCTACTTACATCCTTTTGTGGTCTTAGGCCCATATACATTCATTTTTCCTAAAAAGAAGTGTCTTGAGCCCTTTTCCTGATGATAGTTATGCATGTTTAATCTACCTACACCTAAACAAAACAAAAATGTATAAAGTGAAAAGCAAAAGCCCCTCGTAGGTCTCTTAATTTTCCCCTCTGCCTCT